CCCACGCGGCCAAAAATGCCAAAACGCGCGATGTCGTCAACGTGTTAAGGTTATCTAATATGGTATGGAGGCTGCATGGAGGCTACCGTAACACCAGAAAGTCAAAAATGGTATTCGGTTGGCTCAGAGCCCAAATTCCCTAGTGCTGGTCTTTGCTCACATGTTTGTGCTTTTAGCACACCTTCTAGCCCTGGGAACTGTAGGGAAGCGCTCAATAATCATCTCATCATAAGCTGCATATGTGTCACCCTTTCGCTCCTCCTCTACCAGTAATCATTGTAGTGTCCCAGTTTAGTGTGGAGCTGTATCTTCAGACTGGCTCAGTGTCGTTATGCTTTTGATATATGTATCTGTAGGTCGGAAAGAAAGGAATAACATTGCCGAAGTTGGAGACGAGTACGAACCGGAACTGCCTGGTCAAACCGGTAGAAAGCGTCAGTTTGATGGACCTTATCAATATCAACCCGAGACACATGTCGCCACGTTTATAAATCAAACCTGGAATGATAGCCAATCTGAAGCTTCATTTCCGTCGGTGGAACTGCAACAGCACCATCAGAACGAGGTACTGTCTTTGAGCTAATGTTTTGCATTTTCTTTCGCTAAAGAGACACGTCCCGAGTGTGTATTCAGCTCGGATATATTAGAAACTCGAAACCTCAGGTCGGAGTGCTGTGCCGTAACTAACGGAAAATATGTGTTTATACAGGGAGATTAAGATAGTATTGTGGCAGAATAGTTCAGTGAAAAGAATAGATATGCATTGAAATCGCTGGAGTGTAGTAGATTGCGAGATCAGGATAATAGTGTAGGCGCTACCGTGAGATATGGCCTCTGCACTGAGCAGTGGAAATTCGAGAAAATGATACTTCTCATGCACCTTGAAGTCTCCTGAGGCTCAGCCCTGTTTGCAACAAAAAGGCGATGTTTTACGTAGGTAAATGCACTTCCACTACAATGCCCCGTGTTTTGTGATAGCGCTCAGGAGACTATTATGATAGCACATTGATTAGGAGGACCGTGCGCTGAAATGATGGATACGCAATGATTCTGAGCTCGCCTAATCTCCTTCTCTTAACCAATTCCATGCGATACGTATCTAATTTATTCTTAAAGGCAAAGGTCGGGATTAGTTGACCAAACCAACCCTTTCGGTCATGCCTGTACTTGGTTACGCACCCGTAGAGATGTTCCCACACTCAAAACCTCGAAACGGCGCAGTAATAAGGCCCCAGGGCATGTACTATCA